CTATCCATGTTCTATTTACTGACTGGTTAGCTGATTTATTGAGTTTACCTTTTTCACAACATTTCAACCTGCTTTTAGTCAACAATGACTTCTAAGCACTCCCTACTCCATTTTTTTTTTTTCAGTTCTGGCTGTCCTTTCTGCAGGGAATTAAGTGAAACGGAATGGGGAGGTAATAACAGGAACTCCAAGAAAAAGAGGTAAAGGCGCTTTCTGAAAGCTCTCTTGAGTACACATGCATACAAACTAATTCCTGTGACAAAAGAACAATATCAGATAAACACATTTCGTAAAGGAAATGAGATGTGGATCACTTGCATTTCCCTTTTTTACAATTTTTTAATGTTTTTATTTATTTCTGAAAGAGAGAGAGAGAGAGAGAGAGAGAGAGAGAGAGAGAGAGAGAGAGAGAGAGCAGGGGAGGGTCAGAGAGAGAGGGAGATACAGAATCTGAAGCAGGTTCCAGGCTCTGAGCTAGCTGTAAGCACAGAGCCCAACGTGGGGCTCGAACGCACGAACCATGGGATCATGACCTGAGCTGAAGTTGGACACTTAACCAACTGAGCCACCCAGGCACCTCGCATTTCCCTTTTAAAGAAAGTTTAATTTCTGTCTCATACAGTCAACACACAACTCAGCAAATATGTGTGGGAACAGATTTCCACTTACTTTATTTCCAGGAACTTAAACCTGACAGTCAAAGGGACTCATGTACATTTCATCTTTGCTTGTGGTCAAGTATTCAAGAAATCCTAAGCAATACTGACTTAAGAGATCTCATGAGACAGAGGAAAGTAATGCAGCCAGGAGACTAAACCACTCAAAATAAACATCCAAACCAGCTGGCCTTCTTTCCTGTTTGCTCCAACATTAAAAATGGATATCCTGAAGCCTAAAATCTGCTTAAATACCTGTTTGAAGGTAATTGAGTTGCTGGGACAAAAACTGCTATTTTAGGATCAAATGAGTTTCCTCCATCTGTAAACTCTGATCGAATTTAATGTTTGAGTTTGGCTAATGCAGGCAGAAAAGGACCTGATGATTTGAAACATCTTTGTGGTTAAAGTTCTTTATTACCTTATGAAAGTTCAAATCAAGATCAAATTAACAGGAATACCCCTGTAAACAGTTCAGCTCCCAACAATACACAGTGATCAAAGATGGGGAAAGAGACACTTTGTGATTAACTACAACCCACTGCACTTGAGGTTACATCTGATTCTGACGATGAGATTTCTCAATGTCAAAAGTTCTACACAAGATGGCACAGCATTTTGCTCAGTGAATCACTCTGGTGTCCATACTGAGTAGGGAGCTGGCCAATGGACTCTAATCCCTATGGGTGTCATTCAAAAAAAGGTCAGATCAATGAATCAGTTTTGCCTCCCAGGGACCAAAACAGAAAGATCAGGCGATAGGATCTTCAGGTCATGAAATATCAGGCTCTGAAATGACACCCTTAAGGTCTGGAAGGAATGGTTCAAACCCCATCACTATGCAAATCAGATTTCCAAACTAAGAATAATGGGACCACTCTGATTTTGGAAAAGTCTTCTTTCTTCATTGGCAACTCTGGGAGATATCAGCTTAACCTCAGAAAACCAGCATTTTCAAAATACACACATTGCATTGTATTGTATTATATTTTTCTTTTCTTTTATTGAGAAAAAACAAGAGAGCACAAGTGGGAGAGAGGGGTGTGGAGGAGAGAGAGAGAGAAAGAGGGAAAATCTTAAGCAGGCTCAAAGCAGGGCTGGACACGGGACTCGATCCCACAACCCCGGGATCATGGCCTGAGCTGAAACTAAAACCAAGAGTTGGACACTCAACCAGTTGAGCCAGGTGTCCCCCAAAACACACCCATTTTACATAAAGTAATAAAATGCCAAACAAAAATAAAAACTAATAGTTTGTTATGTGTAAAGTACATGATAGTGACTTCGTGAAAGGAGAGGAGAAGAAATTGACGCCGAAAGCAAGAAACTTGACAGCAGCAGCCTACAGATGCAAGGCAGATAATGTAGATCTGGAAGGCTGATTGGATTAAATATGTATGGAATGGTAAAGACTAACAAACTGGTTACTTTGAAACAGTAACAAGACCAGATTTTTAATATTCCAAGAGAAGCCAGGTATCTGATTTTTTTTCTGTCAAATTTCCGTATTGATAAATGGCAGTTTATTCAATTTTAAAAAAGAAAATGTTTACAGGTTAAGAGATTATAGTCTAAAATTTGATCTATGTGCCACCAGTTTGCAAGCTCTGCACTGAAATGGAATTTTATTTGATTTTATTTATTTTTATATTTTATTTTAACATTTATTTTGAGAGAGAGAGAGCACAGCAGGGGAGAGGGGCAGAGAGAAAGAGAGAGAGAGAGAGAGAGAGAGAGAGAGAGAGAATGCCAAGCAGGCCCAATGCTCAGCACAGAGTCTGATGTCAAGCTCGATCTCATGACCCTGGGATCATGACCTGAGCCAAAATCAAGAATTGGATGCTCAACCCATTGAGCCACCCAGGGGCCCCTAAAATGTAATTTTAAATAATGCAGTAAAAAGCAGAAGGCTTCTCACAGAACAATGATGATACTAAATTACTGAGCCTTGCTTTCTGCTCTACCAAGAAGAATCAGTTCATACAAGGAAACAGATAGTTTCTAGTATCAGAATACTGTGGTGTTTCCCAAATTACAGATGTCTACATTATCACCACCACCACCACCCCTGTGGCCCAGGGCAAATAAGAGTTTGAGTAGAGGACACACAGCTTGTGAGATACCCCCAAGAACTCTGTGGTACACCCTCCCATTCTGGGGATCACTGACCTCAAGAAAGTGGAAAGCTTTGTTTAACTGGAGGCAATGCATCCAAACTGTGAATGCATCCAAAGTCACTGAGCCCAAGATATCAAATAGCATGTGTGAAGTGGCTCTGAAAATAATAACTGCAAATATCAAAGATGACAAGTAGTCCCTAGTAAGCATTGCTGGTATAATATTAGTTCAGTCTCTTGGGGGAAAAAAAATCAACCACTTGTTTACTATGAAAGTTTATAAAAAATGGATGCATTTTAAGAATGTGTGTATCTACCATGCACAAAAATAAACTCAAAATGGATAAAGGACCTGAATGTGAGACAGGAAACTATCAACACCCTAGAGGAGAAAGCAGGAAACAACCTCCTTGACCTCCACCGCAGCAACTTCTTACTTGACACATCCCCAAAAGCAAGGGAATCAAGAGCAAAAATAAACTGTTGGGACCTCATCAAGATTAAAAGCTTCTGCACAGCCAAGGAAACAACCCAGAAAATTAATAGGCAACCAACGGAATGGGAAAAGATAGTTGCAAATGACATATCAGATAAAGGGTTAATATCCAGAATCTATAAGGAACTCACCAAACTACACGCCCGAAAAACAAACAACCCAGTGAAGAAATGGGCAGAAGACATGAACAGACACTTCTCCAAAGAGGACATCCAGATGGCCAACAGACACATGAAACGATGCTCAGCATCCCTCCTCATCAGGGAAATACAAATCAAAACCACACTGAGATACCACCTCACGCCAGTCAGAGTGGCTAAAATGAGCAAATCAGAGAACTCTAGATGCTGGCGAGGATGTGGAGAAACGGGCACCCTCCTACACTGTTGGTGGGAATGTAAACTGGTACAGCCCCTCTGGAAAACAGTGTGGAGGTTCCTCAGGAAACTAACAATAGAACTCCCCTATGACCCAGCAATAGCACTGCTAGGAATTTACCCAAGGGATACAGAAATGCTGAGGCATAGGAGCACATGTACCCCAATGTTCATAGCAGCACTCTCCACAATAGCTAAAACATGGAAAGAGCCTAAGTGTCCATCAACAGATGAATGGATCAAGAAGATGTGGTTTATCTATACCATGGAATACTACATGGCAATGAGAAACAATGAAATCTGGCCATGTGTAGCTACATGGATGGACCTTGAGGGTGTTATGCTGAGCGAAATAAGTCAGGCAGAGAAGGACAAATATCATATGTGTGCACGTATAGGAGGACTAGGAGGAACTTAACAGAGGACCAATCGGGAGAAGAAGGGGGGAAATGGTGGGGGAAAAGGAGAGAGGCAAACCATGAGAGACTCTTGAATGCTGACAAAAACTGAGGACTGATGGATGTGGGGGGGAGGGGGGGATGGGCATGGAGGAGGGCACTTGTGGGGATGAGCACTGGGTGTTATGTGGAAACTAATTTGACAATAAACTATTTGTAAAAAAAAAAAAAAAAAAAAAAGAATGTGTGTATCTATACATGTACATATGTGTGTGTGTATATATACATATATACATGTATACATATACACATATATACAATATATATATACACACACATATATATATATATATATTGCAAGCAGGGTTAACATTTCATTGTTTAGGCTGAAATCTGCAGCTTCATTACTTCAGAAAGGAAGGAGAGTGTCTTATTTCTACATGATGCCAGACGCAGACAGAGAAAAGTTAACAAATACTTTGGCACATTTTTCTACTTCCTATCCTTAAAAAAAAATTTCAGGGGTTCCTGGGTGGCTCAGCTGGTTAAGCGTCTGACTTTGGCTCAGGTCATGATCTCATGGTTTGTGGGTTCAAGCCCCATGTCAGGCTCTGTGCTGACAGCCAGCTCAGAGCCTGGAGCCTATTTCAGATTCTGTGTCTCCCTCTCTCTCTGATCCTCCCCTGCTCACACTGTCTGTTAGTCTGTCTGTCTCTCTCAGAAATAAATTTTAAAAAACATTAAAAAAATTTAAAAAAATTTCAGAAGGACTTTTTATCAAGGTGTCTAAATATAATGAGGATTACTGTGTATTGGTTTTAGATCAGATATGCACAAGAAGTTATAAAGAAACACCCTCCTGTGATTTGGTAATGTCTCACTAATCTTTTGCCGGTTATTAAGCACTACCTAATCTAACCCCATTTTTTATCTTAAGCTATGTTCTCCTAACTCACCTTGTAATCAGGAGTCAAAGTCTTCCAGGTCAGCGGTAAGGTAAAAGCTGTTCAAAGTGGTTTATCCCCGGCAGCTTTTTCCCTGGGAACTCCGTCTATTGACCCTGGTGGGGTTGTCTAGTCAATGACAGGTATAGCTCCTTGATTTCTTTCTCTTGCTGCTTTGCGGCAAGGAGCAGAACTGAAAAAGAGAGATTATACTCACATAGTACAACTCCACATAATCTTCATGAATTTCTCAGGAGGCTATTGATGACTAATCAGAAAATTCTTTCCAATTTATCTTTTGAGGTGACAGTTCATAGGGATGGTGTCTCAGATTTTTACCTCGTCTGCTCAGTCTTACTGAGCAGACTTACTCAAAGATGTAGTCACTGAACTCAGCCATCAGTAACATACGTAACTTCCACCTCACCCAGGGTTTGGAGTATGAAAACTCTCAATTTATATAGCAACTATTTTCTTTTTTTTTTTTTTGCATTTTATTTTATTTTTTTTTTCTAATTTTATTTTTTTTTATTTTTTTATTTTTTTACAAATAGTTTATTGTCAAATTAGTTTCTACATAACACTCAGTGCTCATCCCCAAAGTGCCCTCCTACATGCCCATCCCCCCCTCCCCCCCACATCCATCAGTCCTCAGTTTTTGTCAGCATTCAAGAGTCTCTCATGGTTTGCCTCTCTCCCTTTCCCCCACCATTTCCGCCCTTCTTCTCCCCCTTGTTCCTCAGTTAAGTTCCTCCTAATCCTCCTATACGTGCAAACATATGATATTTGTCCTTCTCTGCCTGACTTATTTCGCTCAGCATAACACCCTCAAGGTCCATCCATGTTGCTACACATGGCCAGATTTCATTGTTTCTCATTGCCATGTAGTATTCCATGGTATAGAGAAACCACATCTTCTTGATCCATTCATCTGTTGATGGACACTTAGGCTCTTTCCATGTTTTAGCTATTGTGGAGAGTGCTTATATAGCAACTATTTTCTAAAAGAGGACAGAGCATGTTTTCCAGAAACATGTTTAACCCTCCAATTAAATGTAAACCTTAGTTTTTAAAAACCAGTAATATGAAGTGGTTTCACCATATAAGCATATAAACGTACTATCACTGTGCCCTGATAAAGACTCATTAATAGTCTGCAATTTGCCTTACAGGGTACATAAGCCAAACTCTTAGAACAATCCTCTCGTGAAAGAGCTGACTATACTATCAAAGAATACAGTTTTCAACTTGACATTATTTCTTAGAAGGCATAGAATATTTTACAAAAATATACGATATGTTCACTTTAAGGCAGAAGAAGCAGCAACAGCAGGGGGAGGAGGAGGAGGAGAGGGAGAAGGAGAGGAAGGGGTGAAGGAAGAAGAGGAAGAGGGAGAAGGAGAACGAGGGAGGGAAGGAGGGAAGGAGGGAAGGAGGGAAGGAGGGAAGGAGGGAAGGAAGGAAGGAAGGAAGGAAGGAAGGAAGGAAGGAAGGAAGGAAGGAAGGAAGAGAGACAGACAGGCCTACTCTAAAGTAGAAGCTAAATTAGTTACTCTGATCCTGAAATGAGACAGCAGTTTCCTTCGAGCCATTAACCTCTCTAGCAAGCTCGTTTCTTCACGAGGTAGTTTTAAAAATTACACACCAGGTTGATTATTTTTCAAGCCTGTCCTGTCACTCAGGTTTAGTTTTCTCTTTTTACTTATGGAAAACGAAAAAATAAATACACACACACACACACACACACACACACACACACACACATTCTGAAAGACAATGTCTTCACGGAAAAGCAAAAGATTGATGTCTATGGGGGAGGAGAGGGGGAAAAATAGTGGGGGAGAGGGAGGGAGGCAAACCATGAGAGACTCTTGAACGCTGAGAACAAACTGAGGGCTGATGGAGGTGGGGGAGAGTGGAAGGGGGGTGACTGGCACAGAGAAGGGCACTTGTGGGGATGAGCACTGGGTGTTATATGGAAACGAACTTGACAATAAACTAAGAAAAAAAAAAAGAAAGATTGATGTCTACTCAAGGACCCTGTGCTGTGATTGTTCCTGCAAGTACTATTTTTCTAGGGAAAAAAAAAAAGTGTGTCGGGAGGGGACTAAATCCCCCTACATCTCTACAAAAAATGATTTTTAAACCTCTACTGTGCTGTAAGACAATTCCATGCATCTTGTAGGTCCTAAATAAAATTTAATTGATGTCTGTAATGATGACACAGGAGAACTACAGTCAGGGTCCATCAAGATTATTTTTGTATGCTCAGCATGCTGTATTTATCTTATGCAAACTACTCAATCTACACTCTTTATTTTCTAAAAAAATTTTAATGTTTATTTATTCTTGAGAGAGAGAGAGAGGCAGAGCATGAGCAAGGAAGGAGCAGAGGGAGAGAGACACAGAATCTGAAGCAGGCTCCAGGATCTGAGCTGTCAGCACAGAGCCTGATGTGAGGCTCGAACCCACGAGCCATAAGATCATGACCTGAGCTGAAGTCGGATGCTCACCTGACTGAGCCATCCAGGCGCCCCTATGCTCTTTAATCCCATGTAATTATAGGCAGACCGAATATGGTCAGCTACAGGAAATCCCCTGCCCACCTTTTCTTTTTTTTTTTTTTTTTTAATATTTTTATTTATTTCTAGGAGAGAGAGACAGCGTGAGCAGGGGAGGGTCAGAGAGAGAAGGAGTCACAGACTGAAACGGGCTCCAGGCTCCGAGCTGGCAGTCAGCACAGAGCCCGACGCGGGGCTCGAACCCACAAACCGTGAGATCATGACCCAAGCGAAAGTCGGACGCTCAACCGACTAAGCCACCCAGGCGCCCCATTTTCTTTGCTCTTTTCTGTGATGGACTCTGCCACCCTCTGGAAAAGGAGAGAACACTGACAAAGGAAAAGAAAGAAGGAAAGTACGGTGAAGAGCCCCCTGTGTAACACTGCAGTTCTTTTCACCACCACCGCCACCCCTGCCCCACCCCGCCCACTCCTCTTTCTAGTCTTATTCTCCACCTCTTACCATTCTGTAAGGGCAAGTGGGAAGTAAAGAGGAACAGATGCCCATGGGGTAAAATCAAGGTTTCCTCTCCATCTGTTTCCCCCAGCCCAGCTACAGGGGCAAGGGAGAAGGCAGGTGAATCTTACTAACCATACTCAAGGAATTCCCAGATGGTGTGTGTGTCCGGTCACCAGCCTATGTAAATCAGACCTTGGCCCAAGGAGCAGTTTTGCACTTCATTTGTCTCTTTCTCCATCTCTCTGCCAATGCATCCTTCAAAACCCAGCTCAAAGCCACAACTCTCAATAACTTCGCTGATCTTCTTTGCTAAAAAGAAGCAACTTCTCATTACACCTGGTACTTTGGTCAATTCTACTGGTATACAGCTGTTTTGGTCTTACCTGTTTCTTACACTTCTTACTCTCGCCCACCCCGACCTCCATCAGACTGTATTGACTCTGAGAAGCAAGGGCTGAACCTTGGTTCCCTGCACACAGTAAGTATGAGTTAAAAAGTGAAACTTACAACACTTCTATTTATATGTTGTAAGAAATGAATCCATTATTGTTCCTTTTGTGCAAAAGCGTGTATTTGCAGTGTATGCAAGGTCATGGAGTAAAGGTCTTGGCTTATTCTGAGACTACAATGAATGTTCATAAGGGCACTCTGTGCAAATTTCAAAAGACACCCTTGTGGGGGCTGACTACTCTAATTAAAAATTAGCTCTATTGGGGCACCTCGGTGGTTCAGTCTGTTAAGTGTCTGACTTCGGCTAGGTCGTGATCTCATGGCTCATGGGTTCAAATCCTGCATTGGGCTCTGTGCTGACAGCTCAAAGCCTGGAGCCTGCTTCGGATTGTGTCTCCCTCTCTCTTTGCCCCTTCCCCACTCTCTCTATCTCACAAAAATAAATAAACATTAAAAAAATTAGCACTCTATCAATACATGGTTCAGATATAATCAATCATCCCTGACAGTTATTGAAGCCAGAAATATTAGGAATAATTGTTTTAATTCAGCTTCAAAAACTTGATTAGGACAGAAAGATTTATACCATCACATTCAAATTACAGATCTGCAGGTGACTAACAGAATATATTGTTTTATTAAGAAACCAAGAAGTTAACCAAGTGGCAACTAAACTTTATTTTAATTAAGAAACTAGACAGGGTTATTTTCCCTTACATATAAACTGTGTGCTGGGCAGAAGTCCAAAGGTACTGAGCTTATATAAAGTTCAAGTCTGATTACTCCTTGTGACAACACATACTGAAGACTAATTCTTCAAGCTCTTGTTAAAAATATACTCAGAGAAGGGAAGAGGTCGTTTCTTTTTAAAACTGTAACCAAAATGGATGATTAAAAAAAAACACATTATATCTGGGTTTTATCAAAACACACAAAAAGAATCATGTTCTAATTTTATGATACATTATACAGACCAAAAAGGTTCCCAACACCCTTCACCTAAGCGATTAGTAAATTAAAAGTTGTAAAGTTTGGGAAAGCTGATTCAAACAAAGCCTTCTATACCAACCAGTACTCGGGTAGGAGTCTGCAGAATCTCATCGGGGAGTTCAGTGAATTTGGCAAAGGTTCCTTCTGAATGGCTCATTCAGGAAGCAAATGATCCATTATCTTTGCAACAAGAATTTTTCTTGTAAGTTGTGACTAATCCTCCCACAGCCTGAATTTTGCCCACTATACACCATGTTCTCGTCCAGCACACCCCCCACACAGTCCACTCATTTATTCTTCAAGCCCCTCAGAGCATATGACATATTCTACCAAAGACTAGACTGTCTCATGTAGTTACTAAGTTAACGCATAGAATGCAAAATGTAGACAAGATAAAATGAGCTCCACCATTCCATAAAATACTAAAAAATAAATAAAAATCTTAAAATAGTAAAGACAGAAGGACCATGGAAGAGTATTTGCACAAAGTCAGCAGTCTGCAGAGCAAAGTCCATTTCACAACAAAAATAAGAGGTGAGACATTTTTGACTATTTTCTGTACATTGTTCTGATTCAATGGCCACATCATTTTCACAAAGGATTGGTCTTAATTTTGGGTTAAACATACTAAACTGTTTTCCCATAAGACTAGACTAAAATGTGGTATTAAGACCTTTTTTCGTCATCTTGTTTACTTTGTCTACTGTCTCCACTAAATAGTTGGTAAAAAGAT